GTACTCCAGGGGAAAGAGATCAAGCATCGCGAGACGCGTTTCGTAGTCCACGGATTTGGGGCCGGCAACCATTCTCGTAGTGGCTCGCTGGACACGCTCAATGAGGGTGACGTCTTTCGTGCGTCCTGAGTAGACAACTTGGTTTGCGTACTTCAGGAGCGGTCTGACGTAGGCCCCATAGAGTAATTGGAAGTCCATGGGAGTAATACGGGAGAGGGTGCGTCGGATCACCCGTAAAATGGCGAATGCCTTTTGGGCCGATTTCTCATGGTGCAGTGAGGAAAAATAGTAAGCCCTCCATTGTTACCCCTGACCAGTCTTCTCACCTACAGGTTACGTAGCACAATACAATATCATATTTCAATTTCAGGGCAGGTGTCACATTGTCCAGGGGTTTCCCATCAAATTTCTGACTGAACCGCAATAAGCCTGGAGTATTAGATTCCAGCCAACACATTTACAATGCCCGCAAGCTCATGGGTTAACTTTTAGCTAAATAGGTTACAAAATTCCAACAATAGCCCCACCCTCAGTTGTTTCCATATACCATTTTCGAAGCTCCACGTTCTCGCGCCGTTAACTTGCAGCAAAAGTACATTTACTCAACGGTAGATTCAATTGAGATCTAGTTTTTATGGCATCTGCACCTACGCCCAGGCCTTTGCCCAATTTTTGTGGCATACGCCTGTCTCCGACCATAAGTCTGTTGGTGACCCAGAACTTCTAGATCATCAAAACCAGGCCCGAAATAATGCAGGCAGCTTGTTAGTATGCTTATTACTCGACGCTGAAGGCTGTCTTCTTACCCTAGGCCATGATAGCAGGACGCCTATGACACCTCGATACCAATGTTGGAAATCAGGTGATAAATGACTGGGGATAAATTGTCCCTGAAACCGCAGCTCAGCGAGTTACCACAAGTGTTCAGCAGCAGGGTAATTAACATAGCTTTTTAGTCGATGTTTCTCAGGTGTTTCACCAAATATTACTCACTGATTCTCCCAGCACGTACGCGATTCAGCTTAACCAGTCTCTGGACTTGGCCGGGGAAAGCCACGCGGCCTTCAAGATGAAACCCGGCCACCAACTGCCTATTGCTTTTTGAGTTCGCAACGGCGTTTGGGAGGAAGTTTGCCAGGCATGAAACGTTCGACGATCACTTTTATCAGTTTCGGGTTAAGATCCTTTCCAATTGTTACCCTCAAACTAAAACCCACTACACCGGTTCGAATTGCAACAACCGCACACAAATCTGCAGGCCGAAACTTCTCTTCTTCACCATGCAATAACATACCGCTAAAATTTCAACCTAAACTCCACAGAAGTTGTTTGAAAAATCCGTGTCGAGCTGTTGGGAGTAAGGTGATCTAGGATAGCTCTCTTTAGAATGCGTTCCATCAGCTTGCATGACACGCTACTGAGGCTAATACGCCTGTAGCTGTCAGGCGATTGTTAGTCACCAGTTTTGTACATTTGCGCGACAATCACTCCATTCCAAGCAGAGGGAAAGCGACCTTCGTCAAGCGACTGACAAAACACCAGGTAAAAACGATTTGCCAGTGTAAACGACGTTTCTTGCAGGATGCCGGGATGGACCTCGTTGGGCCCCAACACGCGAAATGGGCTGACCTTGTGTAAAAGTTGAGGAATGTCCTCCACCGTGAAGACAAAGTCGATTAGAGGCTGTTCGTCGTTACGCCTTGACAAGAGTGGATGAAAAGGGACCAGAAAATATCGTGAGGATAGATGCCAAAAACGATTCGGGCATCTGGGACTCCTCAAAACTTAGCCTTCTCACTGCACCATGAGAAATCGGCCCAAAAGGCATTCGCCATTTTACGGGTGATCCGACGCACCCTCTCCCGTATTACTCCCATGGACTTCCAATTACTCTATGGGGCCTACGTCAGACCGCTCCTGAAGTACGCAAACCAAGTTGTCTACTCAGGACGCACGAAAGACGTCACCCTCATTGAGCGTGTCCAGCGAGCCACTACGAGAATGGTTGCCGGCCCCAAATCCGTGGACTACGAAACGCGTCTCGCGATGCTTGATCTCTTTCCCCTGGAGTACCGTCGCCTCCGAGGGGACCTAATTCTTATTTATGCCCTTTTTGAACAAAGCTTGGCAAACAGGTTTTTCACCGTTGACCCAGCAAACGCAAGACAGGGACGTAGTAGGAAAATTTTCAAGCTCAGAGCACACACGTTCATTAGACAAAATGTTTTCTCATTTCGGGTAGTAGCTGCGTGGAATGACCTTCATCCGACTGTTGTCCACGCTCCTTCTAGAACCCAGTTTAAAGCACTATTGGACATTTATTTATGCGAACCTCCGCGCTGGCGAGCATACTGCCCCGCGCTGAGAACATAAAGAGCAGCGCTACACCCTTTGCACTTGTGCCTTTCAGGTGAACGACAGCCACTAACCGGCAAGAACAAAAGCGATTCAGGAAACTTGGGCAATAGCCTCGATCCTTTGTATCAATCCGTGAATCCGTGAATCCGTGAGCCGTTGTCACTCTTGAGTTCCACGTGCCTTTTTCTCAAGTGGAACGCGGATGACTTGTTTAAGTGGCGACATCGCAGTAGTTCAACAGCGCTTTTCTCTTTTTCCGGGCGAGGTATAGAATTATGGCCCCCCCTTTGTGTGTTTAATTGGGGAATTGCTGCTTTACAACGGTTTCGCATTTTACGAAATATCAATATATCTTCGGTGTGTCTTATAGTCGAGATTTCCGAAAAATAGTTAAGACCCCTTTTTCAGAAGACGCCGAACCCTTTTAATGGCTCAGCCTGCTGCGTGCTGGTTTTTTTTAACGAACATCGCGTCAACCGCGTTAGCTTTCTGAACAGTTGTTCTTTATAAGTATTGGACTGGTTTATGAAGGATGCGCGTTTTAGAGAAGTCTGCATAGCATAAGATTTTTTATCCACGTTTTGGTTTCGGGATTTCTGGCCCCATGGCATGTGAAATCAAAGGTCAGCACACAGCGGTCGCTATGTTTCAGTGGAGCGATGATTGTTACCTGGTGTCTTTCGTTGGTGACGGCCAAATCCAGGAGGGTGGTAGTTAGCCTGCGCGGTATCATGTCAAACGACGTGTTGATTCGAAGCGCTTTGTTGAACGACTTTGGTCAGCGCAACTGCCAAAGTCCACTTGGTCCGACGCGCTGGATCTTCATAAAGGAGGTCTTTGGAGCGTTGATGTGAAATCAAAGGCACACAGCGGTCGCTATGTTTCAGTGGAGCGATGATTGTTACCTGGTGTCTTTCGTTGGTGACGGCCAAATCCAGGAGGGTGGTAGTTAGCCTGCGCGGTATCATGTCAAACGACGTGTTGATTCGAAGCGCTTTGTTGAACGACTTTGGTCAGCGCAACTGCCAAAGTCCACTTGGTCCGACGCGCTGGATCTTCATAAAGGAGGTCTTTGGAGCGTTGATGTCGCCTACCAGCTGGAGATGAGTGGAATAATGGCTGGAGAAGAGTTGCCCAAGAGTTCGTATGAGGAATATGCCATCTTCAGGAGGACTCGGGGTGACGCGGCAGACCACACCGATAAGGGAAGATAGAACATGCGCAGCGGGATTGGGATCCACAGTGCATCGCAAAAAGATGCAGGAGTGGCATCAGAGAGGACAGTCGGGATGGGCACGGCCGCGTTCAAGCACGAAACAACCTCACCAGCCCTCCCTCGTTTTGAATCAGTTGGAAAAATAAAGTAGCCGTCTATCGAGATCTCCGCATCAAAGACATCTGGTGTGAGCCAGGTCACTGCGAGTGCGATTATGGACGGCTGTCCAAGATAAACTGACTTGAAAAGGCTGACCTAGTTTGTGACAAGCATTTCAATACCATCTCCGCTACTCCAGAGGGTGAGTAGCCGAGAATTCAATTCAAGGTAATTCAAAGTAATTCAAGGTTTAATGGTCTTAAAAGCAGTTAACTTTACAACGACCATAGGGTGAACGTAAATATACAAAGGGACGCAAAAATATGCGTAGTGTTTGCTGAGCATCACACAGAGTTAAACAGTTCCAGATTCGGTTTGGACACAAGATATACCCCTGAATTGTTCTTGAAAATGGTCAAACTCGGCGAATGTACAACATTGGGAGGTAGAAAGTTCCAAACGAAACATGCACGGACCGCAAAAAAGTTCCGTCGACAGTTCACCTTTGAGTGTGGTACCGCGAGAAAAAATGTCATGCCTCCTGCCTGTTCGTGGGCGACGTCGGACAAAAAGGTCTTCCAGCGGATGATTAGGTGTCTTTAGTATATTATGTTAGAATTAGGTCTCCCCTGATGCGCCGATAGTAGAAGTCAAATAGGCCGAGACTGGTAATCCAGTCTTCGTATGGTTTATTTCGCAATCCGATTACCAGCTTCGTGGCTCGATGATATATTCGCTGTAGAAGAATTATGTCTTTTTGAAGCCATGGTGACCAAGCTTGTATAGCGTACTCCATGGTTGATCGGATGTAGGTATTGATTACTTGGGGCAGTGTCAGTCGAGTGCAACGACCAAAAATCCGTTTTAGGAGCGACAGGACTTGTGAGGTCCTCCTGTAGACGGCTGTGCATTGCAAGGAGTTTTTTTAAACAGCTGCTAACCCACACGCCCAGATCTTTTTCTTCACTAGTCCAAGAAAGTGGTTGTGGACTCAACGTATAGGGCATCTTACATTTTTGGAGTTTAAACGGTAGTCTGTTTTTCAGTGATCAATCATAAAGTGTATCGAGATCTTTTAGTAATCGGTGACTGTCTTCAATGGTGCCAATGCTTGACTATATCTTGATATCGTCCGCGAATAAAGTGATTTTACTGCTCACGAGCTCAGGTATATCGTTTACGCATGAGAAAACTAAAGTAGCCCCAGGAAAGGGGCCTTGGGGTTCTCCACTTGTAGCTGCAATTGGCCTGGACAGAGCGCCGTCAACACATACACGCACGTCTCGGCCAGCCAAATAGAGTTATGTAACAGGAGAGGTTAGCACATTCATTAGTTGTACGTCGGGTTTGATTCCAAGACTCCAAAGAAGCCTCTGTGGCATACCTGTCAACTTCTGGTCTTGGTGGTTTCGAGGGCAACTTTTAATCTGCAGGGTTTTGCTTCCCATGGGAGCCCGTTTTTGCGGGCCTCCAGCCTTTAGGAGACGGAGTTTTTCCGCGTGGGCAAACATTTCGACCAGTGTCATCAGTAACTCATTCAATACCGCCTTTTCGGCTACCAGATCTGGCGTTGATTAAAAGATTTGGGGCAAGCTTGCCTCTGTATGGTTTCCTGGGTGTATTGGCGCAGTTCGATCGGAAGGCGTCTCTGTGAGGTCCCGAGGGTTGGGTGGCGGCACCTACAAGTAGTTCTTTTTGGCGGAGCTCCCATGAGGCTCGTTTTCGTCGAGGACTGCGCCTTGAAGCCAGCCAGCAGTTTCCTGATTTGGCGAATCGTGCGTGGCCCATTTGGCTGCAGTCGCATTTCTTTTGCGTTTGTGTGTACACCGGAGTCGCCCTGCGATCGGCGTGGCTAACTGGGTGTACGAGGTATTTCCTGGTTCACTGTGGTCGCGGTTGGGTTTTTTGCCCGTCGCGTTCTGGGGCGAAGACTGCGTCCACAATCTCAGAGGCCGCTTTTGACGGAGTGGAGCTAGAGATTGAAAGTTTTACATTCTCAGTGGTTGTACGGTTCTTGCAGCATTCCCTGATGTCGAGGTCAACGCATGGGGTTGATTTGTTGATGGGCTTTGCCGCTTGTCCTTGCACATTTGGTCCAATCGAGCTCAGAGTTTGTGACTGGGCTATAGAGTTTACTGCCATACATATGTCGTATGTTACGGAAAGAAGCGTTGATTGCCCTGCGTACTTAGGTCGTTGCGTCCATGTGAGTCTTGTCCCCTTCAGAGAATCACTATCTTTGGTAGTCGGGGTGTCTGCGGTGACTGAGCCAAGATGGCTGCCCAAAGTTGCGGCCATCTACGCGGGCGTGCTTTCTGGAGCACAAGGTGCTTTAACTATACTCGGTTTGGCCATGTCTATGGTCGACCAAACTGGCGCCAAGCGGAAGCCTGTTTCGCGCCTCTCCCCTAGAACAGCTCTAGCTCAGCTTTTGCGCCCGTCGAGGGCGATCCTCAGATATACGTCTGATCGTTGGGTAGGTATTTTGAATGCTGACAGCCCGCCCCAAGTTCTTCTGCACGGTAGATGCAGAGGACAGGGTGGCTAGAAGCACAAATGTTTACCTGCTTCCACTCTGGCCTGACCATTTTGCGTGAAGCGATTCTTGGCCAGGCTTTGTGAGGATACCACTAAGGAGCGACTTTGTCAGCATCGTTGGCGTGATTTTTCGGGAGAATGAACCCTAGATGATCAGTCACGTGGATGTTATGTTAGAGTGGGAAAATCCATCAAATGACACATGTACTCTGTAAATAGATTGAAGAGTGAAAGAATACCTTCACAAATTTGCACGAGAGAAAAACGAAGCCAATTCAGAACATACCGCTGCCGACAGGTCTAATTGTAAAATGTTTTCGATTACTGAATTCTAGTAAGCTGTACTATCCCTACTTTCAACTTCCTTTTCCTATGTTATGATGGCTTTCTGGTCTAACTACGACCGGTCTTACTATGCATGTGTTGCGGTCACAAAATATAGTCGAGCTTAGCAGGTTTACCGGCAGGGTTCTCCATAAGCTATTCCTGTTCGCAACATGCGCACACGAACACACATTTATATGCAATTCTAAAAAATGAGCTGACATAAGACAGCAATGTGTAGAGATGTAGAAACTGAGATGAAATTTGGTTTTGGCGCGATGCTCCGGTTACAGAGCTTATTTTGGACTGAGGGTAATTTGTTTTACGGGACGCCTACTGATCGCTCTGGCGCTCTTTCAACCTCGCTGAAGTTGCCGACCTTGCCATGCGTTACCTCGCCGCGTATATGCTCTGTCAACTGGGTGGGAAGGAACGGCCAACCGCTGCGGATATTCAAAACGTTCTCTCTTCCGTTGGCATTGAACATGAATCTGAACGGATCAGCAAGGTAAGCAGTGGGTTCAACACTACTCAGCCTTTCAACGTAGCTGTTATCCGAGCTTGAAGGAAAAGATATCACCAAGTTAATAGCAGAAGGTCGCATGAAGATGGCATCAGTCCCAATGGGTGGAGGAGGTGCACCTGCTGTTGCTACCACGGCTGCCCCAGCAACAGCTGCAGCTGGCGCTCCTGCCGCTGAAGCTCCCAAAAAGGAAGCCCCGAAGGAAGAGAAAAAGGAGGAATCAGAGTCAGAGGATGATATGGGATTCGGACTGTTTGACTAAACGCCTCCTGTACAATACATTTTGACGGTAAACGTTTCTTCTTCCGTCATAGGATTTGGAATGAGGGCTTGGTTTGGGTGAGTCGTTCTGGGGATTTCAACTCCCGGAGCCGTACTGTCTGCGGGCAGGCAGGCCATCGAAGCATAGGTGCATCCAGAGTGTCATCACGAATCTGGTGTGCCTCATGATTTACTGGTTCGTGCACTAAGCTTCTGGCTGTCTGGTTAAACTTACTACGGAGGTTGCGGGTCCCTGGTTGATTTCTCGCTGGCCGTTAATACCATTCAAGCGTTCATGCCGTAAACCCTCGGTCGATGTAGGACGCCCGAGTTGGGTAATCAGGCTGCTTCGATGCGGCCTTTGTGTAGATGTATCGAGATGTCCGGGATGAATGTACTGATGACGCTTTACGAAATGACTGGCAAGAAAAACGAAGCGCAGGTTGGTTTCCAGATTTACGGACTATTTTCTTCTCATAATGTTAACTCGCGCTGCATGGAGTACTGCGCTGCATTACCTTATTGAGAAGCACATCCCATATACTTAACTGGGAGCATTAGCGTGGTCCAGGTTATCTAACAACAGTGGTCTGGCCGGGTGTCACTGCTTGGAGCAGTAGTTGAAACGCGCCTAACTACCGGTCGTGTTCCTCTAACTCCAAGTCATGAAGGATGTGATAATTCTGGCCCTCCACATCTGTGGTTACATTGAATGCACTCCTTAAAATACTCAAATCGCTCCATTGGCCCGTTGCGCCATAATCGTTGCCGTTTGTCAAGCATAGTTGTGTGCTTCGTTCAGGAAAGGGAACTGGTTCGGCATCCTGCAAAGACTCAATAGCCAATTTCCCTGAGAGGAAGTGTCCGGGGGCGCACGATCTCAAACTCGTTCCGGCGGCTTCCGTTCAAAGTTCCAGGTAGTCAACTTCAGGATTGGTTGTTGTAACCCAAGTCTGAAGCTCCTGTATTTTGTAACTCCCGGACGACATGTTTGGTTTGCTTTGGAAGCGTCTCGGATAGGCACTATCCGGGCACTGCTAGCCGTCATATCTGATTCACCGCCTGCCCCGGAAACCGTGCTGCTCCGTGTCACTCTTGATCGTACCCAGCTGGGTTTTCAACTGTTTCTGGGCGACAACGCCATCCTTTACATGGTTCTGGGGTCTGGTGGTTGCGGCATCGTTCCTGAGTAAGTTAACTGTAGGCACCGTCGAAAAACCGGCTGGTAGGGCTCCTATTTCACAGGCATTAATTGGGACTGGCAGATGTTTTCGTTGAATAGTAGGATTTTCGTACCGTCGGCTGAGTGAAGGTTTACCGGATACAACGGTGAAACCAGGGTACTTGAAGTCTGCTGGATTATTTTGCCTCGTATGTTGGGTGGTCGTATCCACGCAAGTGAATAAAATGATATTCTATCCATTGATTTCTAGTGTTATCAAGTGAGTCTAGTTACTCAGCACGCCTTGGAGATCCTCACCCGACAGAACTATATGTCTGGCGTATCACAAACCAACTGTCTAGGTTTGGAAACTTAATGATGCCATAGCATCCTTCGATGGTCGTTCGAGTTCGAAGTTGAATCGCACCGGCAAAAGTGGCGGTCATGTACACCAGACTCAATGTCGAAATGTGCGGCCTCGATGTAGCCCTGGTTCCGATTGGTAATGGGCATTGAAGTTTGATGGGTGTGGAGGGAGTGTGCGAGCAGGTCGGTGAGTGAAGAACTGCTTCACCCGAAGTGACCAAGTCTCGCAGCCGTGAAACAATACAGTCTGTATCATAGTCCACATACGTTCTTTGAGAGCCAGTGAAATTCTCTTTTGTGCTACAAGGGAAAATGTAATTCTATCCTTTGCGTCTAGATGGACGCAAATGAGTCAGAAAACCATCGACTAGGGAGTTCACTTCTATCATCAAACCGAGAGAGAGAGAAAGTTCGTCAGGACCAGAATCTATGTGGCGTTTGCGGGAGAATAGGCATTCGTATATCCCACAAGCCTTTGGAAGTTTCTTGTTGGCTGTTCAGAACCCCATGGCAGGTCCGGAATCTCACCGAGCAGTTGCAGTTGAATTGTTGAAAGTCTATAGGCCAACGTTCCAGATGTTTTTCAAAGTCGAGGAAATCATTTTTATCATTGATTGTATCGTTCGCTATAAGCCTTTTCGGCCTGTCGCCTTGTCATTTTTAACAGTTTTAGCTTCCTCCATCTCATCTTTCTGGGCTCACAAAGACCCGTTCCGCGCATATACTCTTTTCACGTGACGTTCGGCAGTTCGCCAAACTCCATTGTACTCTCGACTATCTATCCAAGCTTCGAGCAGTCTTATGGTTTTGCTTAGATATGATTTGTGTTGCGCCGTTCGACAAGCAGAACGCCCGGCAATTTGCAGGGTTGCGGATAGTACTTTCTAAGAAGAGTCAACATAAGGTGTAGCGTCTGAATGGGACTTCACTAGGTTTACTTCACACAAGTTTCTGAGAGCTTTTCAATGGCCAGATGAGGTATGCGCATCTTGCGCGACTCTGAAAGGTGCAAAGGTGTAGCAGCGGACAGGCGTGTGATCGGAATCAACATGCATCCCAGAATGAGTGACGACAGCAATAGACCTACGCCACCACTAGCTAATGGCGGTGTGGTCTATCTGTGTTGGTGATTGGCTCGTTCGCAGGGGGGTGCCGAGTGGCCTCAATTCTTTTGGAAATTAGTGCCGCACAGAAATTTCGTGGCCAGATCGTGTCTGCGGCAGGCATTCGCCTTTACCCATGACTATTCTAAAACGATCACCCAATTGACCCTGAGAAGCATTAAATCTGCTTGCATACTCATGTCCATGTCGACCAGCCCGTCCTAATAAACTACTCGAAGCTTCGCAAACGAGGACACTCATTGTATGATGGAGCAGCGTAAATGAACTTGCTGGTTAGGGTCAATCTCCACAGCACCATTTGGATACTGGTACCTTTCCGGCTCCACGCATTGTAAGGATGGCTTTCATACTATTGCAAATTCGGATTTTTTCTCCATTCTTTTTCTGAATGGCTTAGACGAGATATCTGAAGGCTTCATGTGTAGAATCTTGGCTTTACTGGTGCTCTAGGGTCTGTTACTTGAGTTGAAACGGCCTTGGTCATGATAGTACCAATCTCCGAGCACGAGTACTAATCGAGTACAAGACTAAGGCTGCCAACGTTTTTATCGGGGAAGACAACCTCTTCAGTGCTATCTTGGTCGAATACTGCGGGTGGTATCTCAGCTAGGGGACTTGTGTCAGTACCCAGCCAGTCGCATCTTAGAACAAGGCAGGATAGGGGACACCTTTGTTATGCCACGATGCATAGAATGTAGTCGTCGGACCTTGGTGGGCTCATCTGCTTGAGTGATGATCCGTCATTCAGCAATGTGTTCCGTGGGGCATCGTGATATGCTAAAATTATGAATGCGTGACGGTGTGCATGACGCAGCCCCGTGCTGTTAGAATTAAGGCTGGAGACTCACGGAATACGTCTATCTGGTAAGCTCCAAAAAGACGGAATAATTAGTGAATTTCTGAAGAATATCGTCAACGTCATGAGGAGTGATGTTCCGGTAGTCGTAGCGAGACTGATATCCGATCAACGGGACCCTTGATCGAGACTAGTGTGTGTGTATCTTTCAGTTACAACTTGTCGCGGGTCCTTGCGTAAACGCTTGTGCGGCCTAGACTGTCGTAAATGAGAGCTTGAAGTTCGACAACTCACACGACACTAATTTTCGATAGAGTCCAACCACGTAAAAATATAATTTCAAATAACGTGGTCCAGTAGCGGCACAGCCGTCGCTGTTGACCATGATCTTGGGGAACAGGGTATTTGTATGGTAATTGAAAACGATTGCCGAGTATTATCCGTCGAGCTGAGCCGCTGGCGGTCCAATGGTTCAAATTGGAGTATTTTTTCACCTAATAATTGAGCTAAACCCTACACACAGACGCCATCATCTTTTCTTTGCCTACCGTAGAGAGTAGTAATGGAACTGGGTTACTGCAGCCTAAAGGACTTATCCTCATCTCCAAGTAGAGTGGGACAGTTAATGAACCTGCTTATGCAGCTCTTGATGCTTGCGTTGAAGGTTCGGTACAGATATCTTTTCCAAAGGAGACTTTTTGAATGGTTGGAGCCCTCGATCGATAAATGACGGCCTGATGATATAACTGAGTACCCGACTGCCTTGCTGCTAATGTCGTGAGCGCCTGTCTCGCTGTTTCCTGTTGGCAAGGATCTGACGATTTTCAGCGCAAAAGTGGAGAAGCCGCTCTCCAGTATCTGCATAGTGAACGTCGACTTCGAATTAGCCCCCCAACTGTTCTGGGATTGGTAATTGATCAACTGGCTGTTGATCTGTTCGCTGAGCTTGGCAATTGATTTGCAAACGTTTCGTCACCATTCGAGGAGACATCTTCAGTGCGCTGTTGGTTGGGGTTAGTCGTCCAGACTAAATGTTCATATCATCTGCCAGGATAACACATCGGTCTACGGTGTGTTTATAGTTTTAGGTAATCGTCCCACTCTCCCAACTCAATGTAAAGCAGCTTAACAGCTTTACTTTTCCTCCCCTCGCCGTAATATATGGGCTATACATAGACTACATGACGTGCTTGGGAAAGCGACCCATTTCGACTGCACTATAGTCGTTTGATAGCTTGTAACCTCTAGGATATGGAAGAACTTTCACCTGTAGAAGGTGATGTGTATATCTTGAAGCATTTTGTGGTCTTGGACACTCCAATACAAAACGACCACCTTTGTTATGCGCCTTACATGCTCTAGAGTACGGCGAGCAGCTAACGTGGTATTTAACACGATATCTGTTTTGCAAACCTACATCAGCCGTACGATTTATTTGAGATGGCTCAGTGTTTAAAGCGCGGATTTACTGACCGGAAGGTCTGTGGTTCGAAACCGACCTCCGCCTCACGACTTCCCCTTTCTAGGCTTGGGCGACCTGGCAACATCCAGCCTTCGTGCTTCCTTCGGACGGTATGGCAGTTAGGCGCCAAAAGGGTGTTACAGTTAAGCGATCTTGAGAATGTAAAACTCCATAAATTGTAGGGCTTTGTCTTCAAGGGCCAGGTAGACATTTAGTGCAATGTTCAAACTTTTCACTGAAGTATTTTTGTCGCAGCTCCTATCCACATCCAGCCTTCGTGCTTCCCTCGGACGGTATGGCAGTTAGGCGCCAAAAGGGTGTTACAGTTAAGCGATCTTGAGAATGTAAAACTCCATAAATTGTAGGGCTTTGTCTTCAAGGGCCAGGTAGACATTTAGTGCAATGTTCAAACTTTTCACTGAAGTATTTTTGTCGCAGCTCCTATCCGTGTTGAATACAGGTGGTTGTTCTGTCCATGTGCCAGTTCTTCGACTTACTGAGTGCCGCAACAACGTGACTAACAGTCGGCTTCCAGTTGTGATGCACACTCAGGTTTCTGGTTTCTTGGGAAACAGGTAGCAAAATCGTGAACTCGGGGGAGATTGGTTGGATTGTCCAAAGTCAGAAAATCCTGTTGGACTATGATCAAAGACCAGAATTGTGGACTTCTAAGGAGTGGCATCTTTCCGCACAGGTTGTTTTGAGGGCTAGCGCTTTTGTGGCTAATTGGGTAATTTATTTCACTGATTCTCCAAATGTGAAAGGTTTCGTTACAAGGAGCGCCCCTTTACGAGCGGACCACTCTGCTCATTGAAACGCCGGGCGGCTTGACACCTAAAGCATGGATGATGAAACGGAATGGGATTTGTTTCACTATAGAAGAAGTTCAAAGGCACTGCTGCTTTACTTTCCCACCTTGCCTTATGTATAAAATAAGGTGATCTGGCGAGGTCGATACTGTGGCGTTTCATTTACGCCGCTGGTGAAATACTGTACACAACCCCAGACAAGGGAGCGATTTGTGTTAATTAAAAAGAGTTTCAAGGTAGCCCAATTCTCATTATACTGTTAATGTGCAGAAACCATCGCCGCATGGCGCGGTTGTATATTTTGGTGAAGCAGTGAAGCCAACCGATTTCGTCACCCTGATTTTCGGTTTCCGGATCTACCTGACCAAATCCGTCTGAACAGGATAGGTCCAGGGTGGTCTAATGGCACTTTCCTGAAACCAACAGGTAAGCTGCAGGTCGCACTGAGCAGCTTCCCACCTGGACCATGTTATTTTGCGTGCGCTGCTTCGAACTCGTCGTTTGCCTCATTCCTTTTCCTCACGTCAGTCGGTAATTTCTCTTGCGGTGTTCCACCGACACTGTCTCGAATAAATGGATATAGTTACCACTTTTTACGGGTGCATGACAGCCCACCGTTTCATTGTTTTTTGCCTCAGTCATTTAGCCTAAATTTCAAGCCATCTAAATTTGTTCAGAACGGGGCATTTGTATTTAACGTTTCGCCACTAACCGTGGTCAGTTCGTGCTTGACCTCATTTCTCCTCATAATTTTAGGCATTGTGTCCCTGAAGACTCGTAATATGGCTTTGAACAAATATATGCACCCTAGAAATTTCTACCGGACGAAGAAACCAAACTTCAAGGAACTCGCACAGAAGTATGACTTTTTTCAAGAAGTCGCAATCTCAGACGAGCACGGACGTGTCTCACTAGATTTTAAAATCCCTGCTCATCTCAGTGCATTGTCCAAGGCACTACTATTGGAAGACTTCAACTTGAATGTCGAGTTTCCCCTGGATCGCCTCGTGCCAACTGTGCCATTACGCTTAAACTACATTCTTTGGTTAGAGGATGTAATAAAGAGTGAGTCCATTCTGCTTCGTTTTCATTTATTTCTAGGTTTTACGAAACCTACCGACCAAGTGGTCATCTTGGATATTGGCGTAGGCGCTTCTTGTATATATCCACTGCTGGGTGCCAAGTGCAATGGCTGGAGATTTGTGGGCACAGAAATTGATGCACGGAACATGTCTGTTGCCTGCTCGAATGTTCAACGAAATTCGTTGCAAAATCTAGTCAAACGTACGTCCGTTTTCCCCACAAAGTTTCGCCAGTTTCACATGACGCTTTTTTCAACCGCATAACAATAATTTTTTATGTACAACACATCGTTGGTAGTTCAGTTGTTGTTGTCCAGTTGATGGTCGGTTGTTCGCTTAAAAATTGCTCAGCCTGTTGAAAAGTCGTGCACCACTGGTTGTCATCCGGAAAGCATAACTGTGCCTTTCTCACCTAAAAGCCTCGAAATTACACAAAGTGGACGTAGTACTGTTTCGGATACATCCGTGTATTAGGGAGGGTATGCTTGATTGTCTCATATCTGCATTCACACCGTAATCACTTTAAAAACGTAATAAAGTCAATTTTAACGTGTTCGGGTAACATTTCGTGTGACATGGTGCTGTCCACCGCTTTGGGGGCTCAGTCATCGGGACACTCAACGGATGCGCTGTATGTGCATACACGTGTATGCTTGTTGTTCCTGCACCTCAAAGTGTTAGTCTCTGCGTTCATCACATTCAGCTTGGTTGGTTCGTGACGTACGTGGTAGCGTGGTGAAGTGCAGGACTGACTGTCATTGTCACCAAGGTATGGTCAGAGCTCCGAGTAAACGAGTTAGGTGATTGAGAGGTGGACAAACGTAAGATGTTCACCTCACGTAAGTCCGATATTCTCGCTCACTAGAGCTACAGCGATCACGGCTGTTAAGCGCCAGTATGTATTACCGGTGCGCTCTTTGGTTATCTGTTGCTTTAAACATACTACATTTTGCTTGTGGAAATCGATTCTCTCAACTTTGAGACATCCCAACGGCAAGTCGGAAGTAACATTAGTAGCTCATTCAGTGGAGTTAATTCCTTTGTTCTGTTCACGGGAAGGGGATGATTAGTCTGATCAACAGGAGTGATTTTCGTTTTTTTTGGTAGGGTTGCGGACAGCCTTTTTGCTTTTTCAAAGTCGTAAACCTCCTGCCTCCAAGTTTGGATCCGTATGAGTTTAAGTTCACGAAAGTACTTTTTCGCCTCGTCCATCTCAGATGTTTGTGGTCGCACCGGCGTGACACTCGTGGACCAGACATCGAGAACCTGAGTGGATGAACGCACGCCATATTTTTTCTTTCGAGAGGCTTTTTTTCCGGCGGACACTGTTTTCAGGAATGTCTCATGTATATTAGATGGGTTTCAGGTGCCTCAAAACTGCAGTTACCTTATGCGTCCATGAAAATTCGGGTTCACTTGGTGTTCTAAATTGCTGAAATATACTTTTGTTGATGCTTACGAGCAAAACAATGTCACGTAGTGGCTGTTATTTTTTCTTCTGGAATCACAAGGTTAAGTTTTCATCCCCATTCTTTTCGTATGTAGCTAGAGTCAAGGTTGTTTCCGATGACTTATTGTGAGACCTATAGGGTGCTCCCAAAATCCATGCATATTGTCATACTGACCTCATCCTTCCTCCATTTGCACATCTTAGTAATTCAAATCAAGGATGGTGCGTCGTCACTAGATGCAGTTTTTTCACATGGCACGCCGCCGGAATCGTACCTGACAGCAGTGATGGCCAATCCACCGTTTTTCTGCGGGACATCAGATGCCGTTGGCACCACTACAAACAGGTCTATCACGCGACCCGCATCCAAGACAGTTTCATCAGCGGCTCGGCACGAATGTCAAACACAAGGTGGTGAGGTTCTTTTTGGCATGCGTTTAGCTCGGGACAGTGTGAAGTATGCCACCCGTGTGGGGTATGTCGTTTTAGAAATGTTTGGTTCGGTTCACTTTTTTCCGTGTTTACGAAATTCGACCCACGAATTTCTTGACTGAAGCGATGTCATTCATCGTCGTAACGCTTTTATTTATCTACCCTTTGATGGTCGCGGCAAGGGCTTGGTCATTCATATGATTTTGAATGTAACCTTGAGAACTAGATTAGGGGGCCTTCTTTCTCTGACAATTGACAGTTTCCTGGTTACTTTCTCCGTCCTTTAGATGGAGACTGTTCCGGTCAAATTGATATCATTGGGTATAGAAATACTCGATTACTTTATTGGAAAAGACGGCTGCGATGGGGTCATTTCGTGTACTTTGCCGCCTCCTAAGGAGTTCAAAAAATGTCATGAAAAATCGTTCAGCTGTAGCACCCTTTCGGAGCCTAACTGCCACGTCACCCGAAGGTTGCACGAGGGCTGGGATACTGCCTCTTGGGGTTGCCCAAGACTAGATAAGGGAGTCGAGAGGCAGTGGTCGGGTTCGAACCACGGACCTTCCGGTCAGTCAATTCGCGCTCTAACCACTTGGTCCGTATATCGTCATTCCTGTATAACGCTATCCGACTAACAAAACCTTGGTGTTCTGTAAGTAATGGTTAGGTCACTCCGAGTTTTAACCGTGGTTTACGTAAGTTAGCGTGATGCGTCTTTTGATAAACCGAAACCCTCAATGGAAACTTTGTGTTGGATGTCAGACCAGTGGTTCGTTATTCGTGAAGTATCAAACTTATCGAGGAAGAAAGTTCCAGTACAGCGGTGACATAAATTTTCCTGTGCAAAATATCGTGTTTATGTATGCGTTTTGCACCATCAAAGTGTAAAATATTACTTCAAGATTTCCCATCCTTTTGTGCGTCTAGAACTTGGGAAATAGGAACTTAAATTTGGTGATCGGTTCGTAAAAAAATCGTTCAGCCTTAGCATTCTTTCGGTGCCTAACTGCCATGCCACCCGAAGGTTGCACGAGGGCTGGGATACTGCCAGGTTGCCCAAGACCAGATAAGGGAATCGAGAGGCAGAGGTCGCGTTCGAACCACGGACCCTCTGGTCAGTAAACTCGCGCTCTGACCACTTGGGCCATCTCGTCCATCTCGGTTCACTCATCCTAGGAGCTATGAAGAGCCCGATTGTACCATAACAGATGAATTCAGTGTTCGCGCACTCGAGGCGCTATCGAAGTTCACCAATTTGCGTCTTTTGTAGCGTCAGAGACGGATTTTGTTGAAGCCAAAGGGTCATGCACACAATAGTGGCCTTACTTTAGTTTTGCGGAACGTGGACCGAGGACCTTAAACATTTTCGAACGTTTCATCCTGGTTTCTGTGTAACATAGTAGGCCATTGCATGCAAACAAAATAGTGGTACGTATGCGGGTTCGCGTTACAACAACAACAGCAACAGATAACCCATTGGCCCGTGGTGTTTGGGGTTGTTTTCCGTTCCAAACTGTTGGTTACAGGTTGGGGGGGGGGGGGCTATGATCTAGCAAAGTGAAATAAGAGCGCTGCAGTCAAACTGAGTGCTATAAGGTCTTCACTTTTTTCTGACTCGAGCCCACGTGATCCCCATTCTATGTGGCTGAAAATAGGACGTAGCAAGCAACCCAACCATCCCAATGAACGCGTATTGTCACTTCTCATCAGCCGAACCGCCTATGTAAACTTTGCGCTGAACTCATGTTGGTTTTTGTTCGGAAAGGACACTGGCTCAATCTCGCCAATGGCGCCTTACTCCAAAGTGTTTTCCAACAACGTAGACATCTTATTCTTCATCATTTTCCCTAAGGACGGCAGACTTCTTTGCACCAAGTGCCTAAGTCCCTTTTTTCCCACTTTTTACTGAAGTTGTATCGCAGTCAAACTCCAGTGTGCATCACTGCTGTATTGCAGCGTCCCTGGTCTTGTATCCCGTTTTCCCTAAGGACGGCAGACTTTCTTTGCACCAGTGCCTAAGTCCCTTTTTTCCCACTTTTTACTGAAGTTGTATCGCAGTCAAACTCCAGTGTGCATCACTGCTGTATTGCAGCGTCCCTGGTCTTGTATCCCTTTTAACAATTGGAATTCGCCCGCCTGTTAGGTATGGTGGTTACTCAGGTAAACCGACTCCAAGATTCTAATGAATGTCTTTTTGTTTATCACAATTTGAGTTGTCCAACTGGGCCTGCTGGACGGGGGCACGACTTATTTACCGTAGCAGTGACCAGTTGGGAACTTTGTGGACTATGTCCGGGGTCTTGAGAATAGGATGCCACACTAACATCTGCTTTAGGTCAAGTGAACCCACACGAAGAACTTGTTAAGTTTGGTTTTGATATTCGTCCTAATTTTGTGTATCCATCTAACTTTGCGACCTACTGTTGTTTCGAATAGTTCAGGCCTTACAGATATCTACCATTGAATATGTACAAAGGTCATAGATTTCTGTCACTGAATTTCTTAGAAGTTAACAGCTGTTCCGCTTACAACCGTTTACGATCTAGAAAAGCCAAACGAGTTCGGAGTCATCATAGGTGATCGTGTAGGCAAGTCACTGGCCTACTAACAGTTGCGATTGTTGTGCACATCCACATGACCGCATTAGATAGAAAATCGTTACACGTCCGCTGTTCGAATAGCCATCTAAGGAGATTACGAATTGGGAGCACGCAGCGCTCCCAAAGGTCCCTCCTGCCTGGCGTTGCCCTAAGGGCACGTCAGCTACGGAACGTTTTCGAATGCGGCTAACGTTCACGCTTCCTCGTCAGCTAATCTCATGCAGACCTATCCTCAAACGTCGCAATTGCAGATGATGAAAAAGTACTCCAAGCTTGAGTATTCTCATTCATAATAAGTAGGTTCATAAAGGAAACTACTCACAAGGTTGCTGAAAACTCTTTCACAGCCCACGACCGGTTTCGCCCCTCTTGGGGTTCATCAGGTAGGCGCAGTCTTCGAGTTTCCGTTAACCTTATGTTCTACTTGAACCCTAACTGGACTGTTTTTGAGAAATACGCTCATTTGCAAATCAATTTGGTTTTCACAAAAAACTCAACTAAATCTCTACAACTGAATGTGCTGCACACAGGCCGCTTCATGTTTCAGTTGGTACGATATTCGAGATATCGCAGTATATTTTCATAAAGGAAGCTACTCACAAGGTTGCTCAGAACTCTTCGACAGCCCACGGCCGGTTTCACCTCAAGAAGGGCGATATCTCGAATATCGTGCCAACTGAAACATGAGGCGGCCTGTGTGCAGCACATTCAGTCGTAGAATATCTTAAACGAGAGATTCAGTTGAGTCTCCTGTGAAAACCAAATTGGTTTGCAAACGGGTTTATAAGTTGGTTCACTTCCTCATTTTCTTAGCTCTTAGTGACACTAGTGAAGTGCTAAGAAGATTACATTCAAACTTTATCATAGATTCATAAGACCCTTGTCTACAAAAAAAATAGAATGGGGATAGAATCATTATCCTGGTTTGACTGAATGGCATCGGGTTCAATCATTTTTGACGTTGTGGTTGAGTCTTTAGGTCAGGGAATGCGTTATTCTGATGCTCCATACGCACACCTTATTTCTCTTTGTCTCATCTGTTTCTAGTGTATTCACCGTGATGCTTGGCAAGAAAAGCAGTGTTGTTCCGTTGAAGCGAATCCTAAAAAAACTGAATATCCCACGCATATCTGTTTATGAACTTTGCCAAGGACGGATAATGAGGTGGGGACTGGCGTGGACCTTCCAGCCCAATGTTGAGTTCCCTGTAAGTTTCTTTACATAGCCACGCGTGTTCACGTTGTTTCTTTAAATAGTCAGGTTGTTATCCTTAAAGAGATTCACGCGGGGTCTGTTAGAAACCACAGAAAGGCGTACTTCCAGTCGATTGTACCTAAATTTGCTAATGCCACCGTCATTGCCAGCTATTGTTCAGCTAAACCAAGCCACATTTGTGTGTATCCTCTTTCCAATACTGGCTTACTCTTCCACTCCATAATCAAATCGGATTTCTTTCCGTATCCCAGACATCTGAATTTCGTCGGCTTCGAAAGCTGGAACGACCTCCGCTGAAATTCGAACTCCCACCCAAACTGTCTTGTCTCCCACACTATACAGTTGATGCCCTTCTTGATTGGCTTCGGAACGAATTCAGGCAGTTAAAGGTTTGTCATTATTCTTGTGTACTTTATCTCCCTACAATAAGATTCCACTATTCTTAAGCGTCCGTATTTCCTTCGCTGTTTGCAGATATTGTTGCTACCTTCAAGGTGTTGTCAATACTTAAACGTTAATTAATAACACCTGTGTGTCAGTTAACTCTGAACAGAGATCCCAAGTGCTGGGCGAGATGGCCCGAGTGGTTAGAGCGCGAATTTACTGACCGTAAGGTTCGTGGTTCGAACCCGACCTCTGCCACTCGACTTCCCCTGTCTAGGCTTGGGCAACCTGGCAGTATCCCAGCCCTCGTGCTTCCTTCTGTTAGCATGGCAGTTGGGCACCGAAAGGGTGCTGCAGCTGAACGATTACTTAATTAATTAAGTGCTGGGAGCGTATGGGATTTTGCTTAACGCTGGAAATTCATATGGGAATGCATATCAAAATGTTTGATCATAGCAATCAAACAAATCCTTGCCGGCTAATGCAGAACAACTATGCGAACCGAGGGCTGTCCGAAGGCTGAAATACCTGCAGTGTATCTGAACCTAGATAGATGCGTCGGTGCTGGCACTAACTTTTCATAACCGTAGATTGTACGTGGTATACTGCATGGGGGGGTGGGTGAAACTCAAAGTTCAAAAGCCTATCCACAAGCCCGTGGATGAGTGGAACGTGTCGCCGTGTATGCTCCAACCCACAACCTGCAGTACCAGGAGACTGTATTCGCCCGATCTCTGCCGATTCTCCGTCTGTCTTCCGTCTCTGCACTCCAGAGATTAAGGCACGAACTTACTGGCCGGAAGATCTGTGGTTCAAACCCAACTTCAACATCTCGACTGCTACTGTCCAGGCTTGGGCACCCTGGTAGAATCACAGCCCTCATGCTTCCTTCGGTTGAGATGGGTAATACATACCTTCTGTATCTATCCGTCTGTCCATTGACCAATCCACTATGGCAATTGTATGTGTCGTAGTGAAAGATTTAAGGGATAAACAGACTGAAGTTTTTTGGTAAACAAGTGAAGGAATGACTCAATATCGTAAACCATTCTCTAACCGTTGAATTATTTGTGTAGACCGTTGATAAATCATGTTTATCTGCGTGAGCTCAGATTACCAAGCCAGCAGACCATACCCAATTTTGTTCATTTTATTACTGATTTCCTACTTTTGCAGATGAGGGTTCTGGATCAAAAGAATCGAGCCGAAATCGGTGGTTTCCACTTGTCTATATGTGCATTTGAAAATACTTGGACTCATAACCGGCGAAAACGTCGTGAGGCCGAACGCTTGTCTAAGTCGCAACAGATAAACTCTTCTGGGATAGAACCTGCGAACAATGAGTCCTCAAATCGATCTGAACAAGCTGGTTCGAATGAGTCTCATTCTCCGGAGAAACTCCTATCTTTCAAGCGTCCATTGGATCCAGATTTCATAGAGCCGGATACCAATAAAGAGATGATGACTAACAACAATCCTGTCGTTGACGGGGATTTCGCTTCAGAAGTCAAGCGAAGACGACTTGCCGAAGTATGCGAAGAGGGCGATGCTTGGGTAGAGGATGACATCGCTCAGGTTACTATGAATTCTGAACACCCGTCTATACCAGTTCGACCCAGCCCTGCTCCTCCAATCATCCAAGCAGACGTATTCGTCGAACAAAGCATCACAGACTCGTCATCCATCAATGAATGTGGAACTGGAGGTGGAACTGTTGATGAGGATGATGATGAATGTCTACTTTCGTCCGATCCTTCTGGACCTTTGGTGATCAAAATTGTGTTTACCGGTGGCTCTTGCCGGGAAGCTGCTAACCAGATTATGTGTTACCTAAAAAATCGCCTCCGATAGGGTTTCGTTTTTATCACATGTAAATACACACTTTTTTAATATTACACTTGTAAACGAACTGACCTTTGATCATTTTAACCAACAATAGGTTTGTCCTCAGCTATTTTGTAGCAGTCTTAATTTGTTGGCCGTCTCAACCCAATGTTTATACCACATATTCCAATGAAAGTGAAAAGTAATGGAGTGGCAGGTGCTAATTGCACGGATGAAGCTCATTTCATTATTGGAAGTGATTCAGATTCGGTAGACGCCTATGTTCCGATTGATTCACCACTATGTCTCGACAGGCATCAGCTTCCGGACTGAGAATATCAGTGGTATTTTGTTGATCGAACCTCCTGGTAATTCTTCTGTAGTAGAAAAATGTTCGAAGAAAACTCTACCTCCATCGGTTGTGGCTCTTGTCGAGAAACCCTGGAGGTTCAAAAGTCGGATAACCCAAGTGCATTTTATTTAGGGTGTCGCTGGAGATCTCTATCTTTCGGGTGCGAATTTGATCGAATTTTGGTTCTTTCTGACCGAATTTAAACATGAAAGCAATGTTGACGATTTTGTCACCAGTGGCCGACTCCCTAGAATTCGTTTGATTGGTCAGTTGCTTAAGCTATCCTGTTTAAATTTCTTGACCTCATTCGCACGCACGTGGCATTGGTCAGGCCTTGGGTAATATCGAGTCTTAAGCATTTTGGGGTACACTAGTAGTGCAAATATGATAAATCGATCCCATTATGAGCGCGAGGATTAGACTATCAGCTTCGGATGTTCTCACCCTTTGGACAACCTGACAATGAGGAAACAATCACCAAGCGTTTACCAAGTGAACTAGCAAATAAATTGTGTTGACATGGATGAAGTATTTTACCGGGTTTCTGGCGCCCCAGTCGTCCACAGTGCTGCAGACAATAGTCCGCTATGATCTCTGTGGTACACTGTGTGCTCCGCAATGTTCCTCTAACGCTACCGTTTCCGACGATGACATCCCACAAGTGTGTGCTGGCATCTTTTTTGAACGATTCATGGGTCACTTTGTTGATCAAGGCACATCTCCGGTCAATACATCTACGGTCAATCCACTCCGAGGGGCATTCGCCAGTCCATATTTGTCAGTATTTAGCTTCGGGATAGTCCTTCTTGTACCCTTCATTTGCTGTTTATTCTTTTAATTTTGAATTGCCTAAACAAGGTTCCTTCTTGTGGTTCGTGAAACACTTGCAAAACAAGCAAAACAAACTCTGTGTCTGTTCAATGGGTACACTGATCAAACTTCATCAGCCAAACCAATGACAACAGTGATTAGGGTTCCCCTAAAAAGCTCAAAGCTTCGGGTTTCGAAACGCATGTCGGAGTCATTAGGATTGCGAACTTCCTGTTGTTCGCCATCCCAACAACGTGGTGGATGTCGCCCAGGACCTGCGTTTCCAAAATGATTGGGGTTTCCATTACTCACGCAGAGAAAGAATTCGATGGTTTTCGTAAGGACCTTAAAATACGAACAACTACACCCTGAAAAAATAGTACTGGCGCGTGAAAAAAAACAGTCAATTTTGGATTGGATGGGTAAGTGTTAGTCCAAATAATTGACTACTACAAGAATCTTGGAGTTGCGAGCGCTCTAGATTCCAGTTCCCAGTACAAAACGAAGAGGGCAGTTCTGCATGGCACTCGGAACTGAAGAAACTAGGAGCGACTGGCTGGGATAGAAGAGCACCGATTACAGTGAGAAACAACAGGCCGCATCTTAGTGATTAGTGACTAGATGATCCCCCGCGCCAAGTGTGACAAAGATAATTCATGGTGTAGATTAAGAGCACTTGATAGGCAGAAGAGAATCTCTGAGAACGGGACAGACCCGAATTCCGGAGACCCAAATCACATCAGTGAGACGACCAAGATTTCAAGTAAATTGTAAACTATGAAGGGAATAGGCCAGAGATTGCCTGTTGAGAAAGAGATCGACCCACAGAATGTGCCTGAAAGTGAAACAGCGAAGGAAGGGATATATGGCAATTAACAGGTGAATGGGATTGCATTTTACAAAGCATACCTGAATGGCAGCAAATTCGGGGTTCAGGGAAGAGTGATCTGAAGGTGAAAGCAGATAAATGAGGGATAGGTCGTTAGGAGCAGTAAAAACTGGATTTGCGGAAGCGACAAACCTCCGGTAGCAGCAACAGAAGATGGAATAGGGAAAACAGAATGAGGAATGGGGCGGGGCTTCATTGATCGCGCAGTGGAACAAACATTCCTGGGCGAACTTGCAAAGATCAGTTCGTTAAGAAGTTTAATCCAGTTGGCAAACCGAAGGTGCAGATCGTACATGAATAGTCTGATGAGATGACCTTCGTGCCATACTCCATCGAAAGCTCATAAAACGTCCAGGTGAACCCGGTCGGTTTCACTAAAGGGTTCCAAGACAGGTGATCCAAACTGAGGAAAACGCACCAATGGAACTAGTAGATTTTTGGTGCATTGATTCTTAACGGTGGTCACTCATAGGGGTCATTCACCCATGGTTACAACGGAGCGACTGCAGAAACTTAATTCAGAGGAGATTGGATGAAATCGGGGGATAATTTTCCATGTGAAAAATGATCGACCTCGTTGAATAGGGAGTACATGTTAAATTTTTTGGAAAAGCACGCACCACCAGTGGAGATGGGAGGCGAGCAACTGTAAGAACGTGCCATGGAGTGCAAAATTGTTGCAGTACTGTCCGAACCACAAAGTTTTGACAATTCAGGAGAAAGAAATACTGGCGAACATTCCTAGTGATGAGCAAGCTTCAGCAGGCGGTGGAGGAGGTATGGCTAAATTGTGAGAAACCCCGACCGCCTGAACGCTGCCGTAGTTTCGGACATTAGCGTTCTCGGGATTTTGTCTCCAGGTTAGCAGATAGCTAGTGGAAATAGATAATAAATTATGTAGCCAAGGTTGGCTGTCAAATTTAGAAGGCCAGAGGAGACACATTTCGTTGTTGGGGGTTCATGGTCTTATCTAAGTGATTGGTATGAAGGGGTTTAGAGACCCAGTGAGCAACGGTGTCGATCGATACATGTCCGAATAAACCAATGTCGGATCTCGTTTCGGTTGAGGTCAGGCAACGCCATTGGGTCGATGCTAGCAACTCACCAGATACTCCGTTGATAATCTGAAGCCTCTGGTGAACTAATCACTCCACAGATGTCAATAGGGTGACGCTGCCGATCTTTTGGCAGAGCCGATGAACCTGGTGACGCTTCGGCAAGAGTTGCTGACCTATTCACTTGGCTAATTGCCGCGTCGTGCGCTGAGTAACAACGGGAGAAGTAACGCACAGCTCTTTCCTTGGAAGATGGATATATTATCTTTGAGGTTTAATTTTAGGAAAGGGTTAGTTGCAACCGGAAACATGTGTTGTAGTGACTGGAATAAGCAGAGATCGCCTTTGTAGGGCAGATTCAAGTAGGCTAGCATCGTTACGGTGGATGATCGGATAGGACGTCGAGACGTACTCTTGGACAAATCTCTCTGGATTTCCATTAGCTCGGAGCAAGTTAGCAGTGTGCTTCTGTTCATAATATCCGCAGAGCAGGTTCGCTTTGCCCGACTCTATACCCTAAATCGGTCTCCGTTTCTGTCTCGGAGGCACAAAACTAGAAGTTTACGAGCTAATCCGTCCACTTAAGCTTTCTTATCTGTACCGAACCTGAAGGTGGGTTGAATAATTTAACGTCGACGAAATGAAACGCATCGTTGTATCGGATTTCAAAAGTGAACAGGATGGAAGGATGTAACCGGTCAAAATTCATTAGGAGTCAGCTTCGGAGCTTAAAAATATCTCAGTTTTTTCTTGTGGCAGGAAATGGGGGAAAAGATGGATAAGTAAAAAATACGGACGACGTTTTGCACGGCTGAAGGAGGATCGGCCCACTACAAGTGCGCCAGAGAGTAGTAAACATTATAGCNAGGAATTGCGCTATTCACGCAGTAAGTAGAGGAGCGGTGCTTCCGCTAGTCTCTGCAGTTAATTCTTCATCAGAGTACATTCATCCAGTTTGTAGAAGTTATGGGTAAACTCCCGTGCACCGTGGTAAGTAAAATTAGTAATACTGACATCTGATGTTACCGTATAATTTGTAATCCAATTTCACTTGTAGAAGAAGCGGAAATCTGATGCATGCCATCCGAATCGGCGGAAGAGTATCTCCGTGAAGGATGGATGGTATGTAGGAAAGTGAATTGATGCATATAATCGGACGCTGAGAGGTGATACAGCTGGTAGCATGAAGCTGGAGCATGAGACTGAACGAGAATTAGTGAATTCATTTGATCCACCTTATCAGAAAGGATGTTCAAAAATATGTTCTACGAAAACCGTGCTCGAACAAACAGATAATGTACACTGCAGAGAGAAAGTCAATGTGTTTTCATAGGGAGAATCATGCCAACGAGCTCAATGAGCAGCCAACCATTCGAAGCCCTGCGGCGAGCATTCCCCGCTGCCACAACCCATCCTTGGTTCATGGGCCGGTGCAGCATGCCTAAAGCTGCCTCTAAAGCGAAATGGTAAGATGGCATTTCACGTCGACAACCTTCTAGCTTTGCCAAATTAACTACTCGGGTCACCGCTATCAGGTGCTTGATTCCGTTCTTCATACAAAACAAACAGTAACTTAAAAAAAATAAACCATTCACAGGCTAGCGTACAAATCAGTGGTCATTCAAGTATACTCAAGACACGCGGATGGTGAGAAGTTTCGCCGTGAACTTGACACAAACTGGTGGGTCGGGTCCGGGTCCACCCTCCGTGTCGCTGGTGGGTCAACTGCTGTGTTCATACGCCATCTGTTTACATTATTGGTCCGTTTAGACATTGGGATATCGTATGCAGATGTTTTACCATGTAAGTAGTTCGTTTAGACGTCGAGTTTTGTAGTAAGGCCTGTTGTGGAGACTCGGGCCGATGAATTTGTTCTTGAAAACAGTGCTCCTTGGAGATATTTTTCTCTGAGAAATCAAACTACTCACTACCTGAAGTAGTTTGTCCTTAATATCGGCCTGTAACCCGGTGTGTGGGCT